CCAGAGAAACACAGGACCTCGGAGCCCAGTGGGACTTGAGAAACTTTCAACTACATGGCCTTATACATCTCCTTTTTCCAGTTCCTTATCTCGCTTTCCCAATATCTTTCTTCCTTTTTAAGATTTTATTTTTAATTATGTGTACGTCTGTGTGTGGGTATGAGCACGTGAGCACTGGTGCCCTCCGAGACCAGAGGCAGTAGATCCCTGTCGGGCTGGAGTTGCAGGACATTGTGAATGGCCTGATAACGGGAACCGAACTCAGGTCCTTTCCAAGAGCAGCACGTGCTTCTAATCCCTGCGCCGTCTGCCCCGGCTCTTCACCTTTCCAGTTTCTGAAACCGTGTTGAGAGGCCTCAGCAGCGTCACCATGGTAACCACATCCCCAGTTGTGCTTCTTTTCCTCTTTCCACGGTGGAGACCTGGTTCTCTTAGGAACACTGGCTCCTTCGTGGTGTGTGTGCAGGTGGTAGTGGCGGCAGGGGAGCATTTCCTTTTCTGCACTCCTTAAATGATGGGCTCGCAAACAGGCGGGCGTCCTCATTGTGGCTTCCAGAACGTTTCCCCTGCCACCAAGGTCAAATAGCCACCACTAGTGTGTAGCATCTCTCTCCCACAACATATCCTCCTTCTGTAAAGATTTTAGCTCCACGCTCCTCTTTGCCGTGGCCCGAGTGTTCTTTCATGCTTCCTTACGACTGTTTTATCCTGACAGACTCATTTTTCGGTATCTGGCCCTGGAGTCTGTATTAGCTCCTTTTCTCATGAATGTGACGAAAGCTTACGGAAGGAAGATTTCAGTTGGCTCACAGTTAGAGGGTGCGGCCTGTCATCGTGGGGGAAAGCATGGTGGCAGGGTTGGGGGGTGGCGGGTCAACCTGGTCACATCGCTTTAGCCATCAGGAAGCAGAGAGGCCAGTGTCGCTGTTCACCTGGCTCTCACCTGGCTCCCTCACCTGGCTCTCTCACCTGGCTCTCACCTGGCTCCCTCACCTGGCTCTCTCACCTGGCTCTCTCACCTGGCTCACTCACCTGGCTCTCTCACCTGGCTCTCTCACCTGGCTCACTCACCTGGCTCACTCACCTGGCTCACTCACCTGGCTCTCTCACCTGGCTCTCTCACCTGGCTCACTCACCTGGCTCACTCACCTGGCTCTCTCACCTGGCTCACTCACCTGGCTCACTCACCTGGCTCTCTCACCTGGCTCACTCACCTGGCTCACTCACCTGGCTTTCTCCTCTTTTCCTTTTTTATCAGTCTGGGACTGAAGTCCAAGGAGTGCTGCCCCCCCCCCATTCAGGATAGTTCTTCCTCCTTTAGTTAATCCTCTCTAGAAACATCCTCACAGATACACTGCTGGAGGTGTGTCTTCTAGGTGGTTACAAATTCAGACAAGGTGACTAAACATCACAGTGTCTTCTGGATTTCCCTTCTCCCTACCCTACCTCATTTACTCCTTTGGTGTGTGTCTGTGGGGTGTTTTGTTTTTGGTGTGTGTGTGTGTGTGTGTGTGTGTGTGTGTGTGTGTGTGTGTATTGACAATTGAACCTAGGGCCTTACGAATGCTGGGGAAAGACTATGCTATACCCCCAGTCCCTCATGGTCAATCTCTAACCTCAGTCATTACTAATACAGCAGCTTTTCTATCACCTGAATTTCAAGTGCTGCCAATAATTGCTACACTGACTCCCTCATAGAATCGGATCAATGTGAGCAGTCACTGGTTAGATCAGCCCAGGCAAACAGGTCGCTCTATTCACAGGCTGGTGTGTGGCTTAGCTGAGATCAGCCATCAGCCAAGAGACTCTGAGAGAGGCGCTGACAATGAAGGGATTAAGGACATTGAAATGAAGCTTCAAAGAAAGAAGAAAAGGCAGAGCAGAGCCGTGGTCCTTTCTGGAGAAGAAGCCTGGCAACCCTGTGCATCAGAAGGAGGGAGTCTGCCTGGAAAACAGTGCCTAGATGGTACACTGGACTCCTCTTGGCTCGGCAAGGCTGGACTGGAGAGATAAAGGAGGCCCCAGGCGCCACAGAGAAGAAAATGTTCCAGGGCACACAGTAGGGGCTGAGTAAATATTTATTGAGAAAACGAGTGGGTTTTGTGACTGCAGGCAGCAGGTTTTCTTGTTTCCGCAGCCCCTTTTGGATGGAGAAGTGCTAGGGTGTCACATTTTCAACAGGAGTTGGGGGAAGGGCAGGTCGCTCTTTTGCTGGCTTTAGTTTGAGTTAGAAACAGCCTCAGGAGCTGGGTGTGATGGTGCTTGGCCATGATCCCCGCTCTCAGAAAGTAAAGGCAGGACCACCAGGAGTTCAGGGTCAGCATCAGCCATGTAGTGAGTTTGAGGCTAGCCTGGGCTACATGAGACACTGTCTCCTCCTACCCTCCACCCCACGTCAAGCAAAAAGTGTCAGAATTGGACTCAGTAGGTTATATACAAAAAAGCAGACACGCAGGGCGGGGAGGGAGGGAGGCCAGGCATGTGCTGAGGAATCTGGGGGCAGGTGTTGAGGGGGAAATGGTCAAGATACACTGTATATATGTGTAAAATTGTCAAAGAATAAATAAAAAGATTTAAAAGGATGAAAAAGGAGAGTTGGGTGAATGATGATAGAGGTGTGTCTAGGAAATAGAGGAAAATGAAAATTTTATTTTATTACAGACTCTGCTTCTTGAGTTAGACTTTTCATTTGGAGGCAGGATCTTACTGTGTAGTCCTGGCTGGCCTGTTGTTCAATATGTAGATAGCCCAGGCGGGCCCCACCTTTGTGCAAATCTTTCTTCCTCGGCTTCACAGGTGCTGGGTTTACAAGTGTGCATTGCACACACTTACTTCTCAAGTGTGTGTTGCCTCGTTTGGCTGGGCTAGGCATCTTGATACACACCACATTTCAGCCCTCACAACAGTCTTTCCAGGCCAATGTTAATTACTGCATTTTTATTTTTTTTAATTTTTATTTTTTCTTTATTCTTGAGAAATCTGTACATGTATGCAATGAAACATGGTTATATCTATCTGCCCCCATTTCCCCACCCCAACTTCCCTCACATCCCCCCAACAAAGTCCTCCTAACTTTATGACCTCATGTGTGTGTGTGTGTGTGTGTGTGTGTGTGTGTGTGTGTGTGTTTGTGTGTGTGTATACACACGGTGCTTTTCTGTATATATGTGTGTGTATATACACATACATGGTGCTTGTCTGTATATGTGTGTGTATATATATATGTATATATAGATAATGCACTAATCCAATTAGTGCTGCCCACATGTTTGTGGGTGTGGGGTCATCCACAGGAGCACGAACAACCCACCAGTGGCCACACATACAAATGAATAAACATGAAAAATACTCCCTCTCCTTGGGGAAGACCAATTGCCAATAACTCCTCAGGAAGAGGAGAGGGCTCAGAGAGTCCCCCATCTTTGCGGGAACTGTGACTGGACTGATGGTGTGCAGGGGACCGTGGCTGCTGTGAGCTCTACAGTTATGTCAAGTCCAGGAGGCAGCGTTTCATAACGCTCCTCGCCACCCTCCCCTCTGACATTTCTCTCTGCCTCCTCTTCTGAGATGTTCCCTGTGACTTGATGGTGGTGTAGGGGGTGGCGTGGGATGGTGTGTCGAGAGAGATGTCCTGTTTAGGGCTGAGCACTCAGGCACTCACTCTCAGCACTGAACTAGTTAGACATCTCAGCACTGACTGCTGGCCGCTGCACAAGGAAGCTTCTGTGACCAAAGGTGAGCAGGCCGGGTCCTTGGTCCTCATTGAGTCCTCTTGCCCAGGCCTGGGTACCTGTGGGTCTTCACTGTCTCTGAGGTCCAAAGAAACCTGCAAAGCAGGGAAGACTCAGAAGAAAAATATGCTTGGATTCCTGGGCAATGTGTTTCCTGTTCTTTTGTTGAAATACTTTACTAGATGTAGACTCACTGAAGTCAGGCCGTGTGTGTGTGTGTGTGTGTGTGTGTGTGTGTGTGTGTGTGTGTCCGTGTCCAGCCAGGTGCACATGTATATGGGTATGTGTGGAGGCATCAGCTGTCTTCCTCTATTGCTCTCCACCTTTCTTGTTGTTTTTGAGACAGAGTTTCTCTGTGTAGCTTTGGAGCCTGTCCTGGAACTCACTCCGTAGGCCAGGCTGGCCTCGAACTCACAGAGATCCACCTATCTCCGCCTCCGAGTGCTGGGATTAAAGGCATGCGCCACCAC